ATTCTATGATTCTATGAAATCTGCCCGTTAAGTGCTCAGTTACGCATCTATCTCTTACCACCTTATCAATGCTCACATACAGTCATGCCAACTCTCGAGCCGGGTACGTAAATGCACATCGAGAACCAAGCGTCGGGATTTCCTGCTTTAATCCCAGCCAGCACAGGGAGTTCACGGAACATTCTTCACACAGATGGTGATGGCACCAGCCCCTGTCTCAAAGTGTTCAGAGAACAGTCAGCAGGTTTGAAAAAAATGTATTAAGATCTTTAGCCAGCCACAGACAAAATCATGTTACCAGCCACTTTTCTGCAGGCCACGGACCAAACTTCAGTTCAGAGAAGAGTACTGACAAAAACTGAGGAAGAGTTAACACATTTCCCAAACAAGGCTAAGGAACAATTAATGCATTTACTAAACAAATGATTACTCCTGCACAGAGCCTACTTAATTACCTTTATCCAATCACATTTGCAACGTGAATCGATTCTCAGATGCACTTTTAGAACTTCATTAACCTCTTCAGCATGGTTGTTTCTGTCGTCTAACAAGGAACAGTTTGAGAGCATAGATTTTACCTACAGAAATTCCATCCCAAACTTGTCAGGCTTCATTTGCATCACGTTAGGACGCATGAATCATGCCAGTCGTACCAAAACTTGTTCATGGTCCAAATTCTGAATGCCGAATCATTTACAATAAAGTCTTTTTTTCAAGCTAGGTCTTGTAACAGAAAACTACTTAGAAAAGTAAGGAAACAGCATCTCACTTAATTTGACCTAAAATATTATCCCCAAAAAATGGAAGCTAGAAGAATATGTTTCACAGCTTTCTGAATGGTTTAAGCAATGGAGAGTTGATTCAATGCTCAAGAATATATTCTAAAGTAGTGGATTCCTCAATGCTGTGGCTGACTGGGGGCAAAGAATTTTGTAGAGTATTACGTGAGGAAAAACTAGAGAGAATAATTGAAGAGGCACCATCAGTGTCTTAGATTTGTTCACAAGAAAAATGCAAAGGTTTTAAGAATGAATCACAGAATGGTTTGGGTTGGAAGGGACCTTAAAGACCATCTAGTTCCAACCCCCTGCCATGGGCAGGGACACCTTCCACTAGACCAGGTTGCTCAAAGCCACATCCAGCCTGGCCTTGAACACTTCCAGGGATGGGGCATCCACAGCCTCTCTGGGCAACCTGTTCCAGTGCCTCACCACCCTCTCCGGGAAGGACATCTTCCCTATCTCATTTAAATCTCCCCACATTTAGTTTAAAGGAAAAACTTGTTGGCGACAGAACTTGTTGAACGTTAACACCTTAATTGTAATTAAACTACAGGTCAAAACCAAAATGTTGCTAAAAGAATCAACATCAGAGTATTTCCACATCCGGTTCTTAAAGCAATCAGGTCCCGCCTTAAGATGCATGCAGCCTTCATATCCTTTAGGAAGATCACCCACGACAATGAATACAAAACCCTCACGGCTGGCACATTTTGAAGGCCACTGGCTACCACGCTCAATGGGTGCACACGCAGTCACTGCAGGTGGACAGGACAAGCACACGTTTGCTAAACACACTCAATATAGCTGACAAGAAGTGACTGCTGTGGGCAACTTAGTACCATCCTTCTGTAGTTTAACCTCGCAGTATCAAAGCCATTCCATAAGCACTCACATCGGTCCAAACTTCCAAGAAGTTTCAGCCGATTCTCCTTTTTGTCAGCTATCCTCTCGCCCTCAAACAGAAGAAAAAGACCTCAAGAATGTACCTTTGAAACAGAATTGCCCAAGCAGCCAAGTAAGAAAAATATCTCTTAAGGAGACACCTGCATAAGTGTAATTTTTACCTTGGAACAGGTAACAGCGGAAGGCTGCTATGACTGAAAAATGTGACGTTTTATACACCCACCCCCAAAAGATAATTTTCAAGCCCAGCATTAAAAAAACCAAAACAGGCTTGCAGGAACTGACTGAGTATCGCCTCTTTTGTAGCCTGACAACTGCAACCAAAAACGTATTCTGAGTTAGTTGATATTGTCAGTTCTAAGCAACCTAAACCATTCACACGTAAGAGAAATGTGCGCATCCAGAACCTCCCGCCCACGGCAGCTTGTCCGCCATCATGATCCCGATTAAGGCCTCTCACAGGGTTTGTAGCTTCAGTTTAGACTAAATCCATCCCTAACGATCGGGAACAGTTCAGTGGAGGATGAGGTTCCTCCTGATGGCAACTCTGCAAGGCTGCCTGTCTGCGGGAAACTACAGGAAATGAAGGCTGCGAGGGGCACTGGCTCTCGCTGCTGGGAAGCAGAGGAAGCCTACCTACTCCGAGCCTTCCGCAGCAGCCGCTCACCGGTCATTCGGGAGCAACCTTCTCACCCTGACATCCGAGTGCTCAACGCCAAGGGAAAAGATCAACAATTATACCCAAAAAGGAACGGTAAGCTTTGTTTTAAGGGCTGGTAGTATTTTTTAGCAGCCATAGCTGTAATTCTAAGAAATGAGAGAATTCCACTTAAATACGCTTTTGTTAAACATTTGAATGTTCGTGTTCAGCCAATTATGATTTTCTTCAAGATCTTACTATGTTGCATGTATCTTTTTGCAGCTGCATGTCCTGAACAGCAGACCCATACACAGGTAACCGACAGGCCTGCCCACCGCACTTCTCCGTCTTCGGCATCTCCCTCCCTCCTTCCACAGTTTCCCTTTAATGCCGTTTCTGACAAAACCGTTTTGCAGTACACTTTGAAGTGGAACTAGGTGATCCAAAACCACCAAAACTGACTTGAGTAGTGTATCTGAACCGAAGTGAGGTAAGTTTCGATGCCTTTGTGTGTTTTATGCCACGCGCAACGCTGCACAGGGAACAAAGGCATGCTGCCTCACAGTAATTTCCTGGACAGGAAATGAAAGGCTCTGGATACGCCAAGCTGTGAATCCTCGACGTTCACCACATAAGACTCTTCTTATTAACTGATGCGAGATAGCACACCGACGATATTAAAAGCAAAATCTGTACTGATTCAGCTCTCCAGGGTTTGTTCACAACTGGTGAGAGAAGTTTAATCGGGTCTCAAATTATCGTAACAACTTAATTTATCTATTAAAGCCTTTTTGTGTTACTTGGATTTGCTTTAGATGGCACAAATAACATCTGTAAAAGTAAACTGCTACAGGAGAAAAGAGAGCTGCGCCACATCCCACACATCAACCGCCCAGAGATGAGAGACATGTTCCGCTGTCAGACAGAGATATTCCCACTGCTCTTCACTGCTCACAAAACACGTATCCACGGACTAACCGTTGCCAGCTACTTCCTCATGTTCTTAGATCAACAACCAGACAACTAGATTTGTTTTCTCTAAATATGATTTAATTAAAAACACTAAATCAGCTTTGATTTTTATTTTGTCTATGTACAATAGTTACCAAATGATGAATACACTGAATCAGTTCTGTTAAATCTCACATAACGTTGAAGGACATCGGCATGGCATGGAATAAACTCACACTGCCTTTTGCATATACAAAAAAATGCATTAAAGTTACCTGTGATTACCATTTTGGTTTGGGGTGTGTTTTAATAACCTGCTTATTAATTCTCCAAGTCACGCCATAAAAACAGTGTAAGTAGTTAATTGATCAGTTAATATATTAGCAAAGATAAACATTAGTAAAGTTTGCAAGAAATCAACTGCAAAATTACCTCAAGTGTAGGACTGAACATATTCACGTGAAAGTTACCTTCAGTTAGAAAAGTTCTGAAAAAGAGCCCAAGTTGGAGCGATGCACTGATTTGGTCAAACTGATTCATATGAATGAACAGTCAAGGTTATTCAGCTATTGAAAATATGACTATCCTTTTTAGTATTCACAAACATTTGTATATAGTGTGTATGTGTGTAAATATATATATGCATATATAAAGTGAAGATATGTTGTTAATGTAAAAATATACTGTTCATCCACTCCCAATTACACAAAATTCAGTATTTGGACATTAAACTGTGTAAGTACAAATGTCCATTTCAAATCTACATTCAACCAGCAACAAATACTTAGAAGTATTTTTGTAAACATTTAAGATAGGGAAAACCCATTCATTTACAAAACGATCCTTCTTCAACACATCAGCATCTCCTCAGCTTGAAAATTTTGTACAGCAGCTTCAGCTGGCCTGTTGTGAATCTGCTCGAATCAAAGAGCTCACACTCCCTCAGATCAATACATGTGAGAGCTCAGGAAATGCAGAATTTTCAAATTAGTTCTTAATCACCATCCGTTTCCAGTTCACCAGCAAAAAGAAAATGCACTTGGCTACAAAAATATTAAGGAATGTTATTGAAAACAAAAGGCTATTTTGGTAGAAGAAACTACAAAAATAGTTAAGTTGAGTCATGTTGTAAAGCTTTAATGCAAGAGCATTACAGTACAGAGTTTCTTTCCAACCTTAAAGCTTAATCAACACCAGATTTAAATATCCATCTCTCAAGTGCTTGAAAAACACGTGCTCAGTAAAAGTCTTTCTTCAGTTTAGCCACCTGTGATTACGCAGGTGTCAGGCTCTGCGTCTCGGACACCTGTTGAGCACTGTCTCTTGTTCCATTGGCAGCAATTACAGGTGTTGAGATACTCTGATACAATGACGTCGGACAACTCGACAGAGCTCCACTATCATCCTCTCCAGTATCCAAATCTGGTGTTACAGAACTGCTTTCGATCCCCAGGATCTCACTAACTGCTTGAGGCAATTCCTAGAAAGGCGGAAGGGGGAGGAACACATTTAAAATCACTGCAATTAAATGAAAAAAAGTTAACGACAAGGTCCCCCAGGTCTGTCCCCTACCCCCCAGTAAGTAACCATTCCTCTGAACTCAGGGGTACCGAAAGCATCTCTCCCAGCATCAGTTCTGCTGGTTACCCTTTTCTGTGTCTGCTTTTCAGGAAGACAAAAGGGAACAGGCTCAGGAACCAATTCCTGATTAACAATATAATCTTCATTACAAAAAGAAAAGTCTAAACAACTATAATTACACTTCGTGTGATTGAAATTAGTTTCACTGAGTGAACCATTAGTTTCTGCCTCGTAAGTCTGGCATGCTTTCAGTGCAACGCACCTTTCACCTCGTTTTTCTCAAGCACTCTAAACACCCAATTACTTGTACTGAGGTGGCCCAGGTAAGAGTTTAGAAATCAGCACCAACGGGCACAACCCACATCTCCCCCAGTGAACAACATTACTCTAAAAAGTTAATCGCTCTTGCTTACAGACTTTCAGAATGCAGGTGCTTATAGATACAGCGCATCCTTTATTATGCCCAGGCATTTGGTTATTTCACACGTTACACGTACATTTACAGCCAACTACATCCTTTTTCTGTCTATAAATGCTTGTAGTAGGTATATTAAAATATCTTTACCTTGCAATTCATCATCTGCATTGAAATTGCTTCTGCTTTGCAGAGTATAAATTCCACATCAATTTTCATGGACAGTTCGTTGATATGCTAAAAACATATCCACCAAGAAGAGTAAGTATGAGAAATGGTAAATCCGCTTTATTGGAAAACACACTCATGCTGTACTGCACTGCTAAGAAGCGCCACCTCACACGCTTGCCCCCTAAGCTGTGAACTGCTAAACACACTCTCTTTGCTTTGTCAAACGGGTACTGAAAGATACAGTGTGCAACAGCTGGCTTTCACCAGTATCCACGATCCGGAGGAGGAATCCGTCGTACGTCGAAATGTGACGAACTATCAAGCCCTCCTAGGCAGCCCCCAGCTTACACGTTCAGAGATAACAAGTTAAGGTTATAGAAGAAAAAGCACAAGTTAAGATTAAACATACTAAGCAGTACTTCAAGGGGGAGAACCATTTTCCATCTGTTAATGGATCTTATCACTAAACACAGACATCAAATGAACCGTTTTGAAAGCATGCAAGACAGGCATTCAGTTCACATTTCACCCTTCAGAAGACTGTACACACCTCTTCCTCCCCTCAACATGAAATACAAACATACTGCTTTAACTCCAAAAAGGTTAATTAATATTTACATAATGCCTACCTTTAATATTTCATTAAGTAATGCCTACCTTTAATATTTCATTAAAGCCATAGTGCTTGTCCATTATTTGCTGTTTTTCAGATTCTAAGATAGCACAACAAAGGAGAAGATGAAAATTCTGGCAAGGCAACTCCGTCCACATGACCTGGCAAAATACAAAAACCACTTTTGAAATGCTTATGCTTTTCCTCTGAAAAGAAAAGCAGTTTATGGAAAATAAGTAAGCCCTCAAACTGAGGGGCTTAACTAACAATAAGCTATTAAGGCAACTAAATATTTGTACAGCTATTTGAAATTTTTCTTTTGGCCAATCAGCAACGACTGCAAGTCTGAGTCACCCAATCTTTATCTAGTCCTTCTGTGTCTACCAGGTTGTCCACTATAATGCTATTAAGCTGCCTTAAAAAACATAAAAGGAGGCTCATGAAGATTCAGTCTTACTTCACTGGTAGAAATATTCTTGCTTCATCATGGCTAGAACACAGCCTTGATGCTCAGCAAGAGCTTGCTTACACTTAAACTTTTATCACGATACACGTAGGCCTTAAGCAGAACTGCCTAAATCTGAAAGATATCCAAACCAAGCTCACCCAAAATAAAGTGCAATTAATCTTGAATGTTTCGATTAAGATTCAATTCACTCTGTCCAGAATTACATTTCATAACTTATTCAGGTATCTAATGTTCTGTTAATGTACTCTCTCACTCCAGGAAAAGGGCTGGACTGTAAATAGCCTGATCAACAATACCAACCAAAGGAAAATGCCTACAGCCTACCAAACACGGTCTGTCTATACACTATCAGGTGTTTGGGGGGAGGGTTATGGGTTTGTTTTACCCCTGCTTCATAAGAAGGAAATATTGACAGCCATACAAGGATTTGGTTTAACATCAAGTTTGCACATAATGAGAGCAAACTGTTGTCTACACATTTCCAGCACACCCACTGTACCAACTGCCATGGTACACATACCATGAATCATTCACAACAGTCATTAATGAAGTGCACCAGATAACAGCCTGCCTCTTGGCCTTAAATCTACACCAGAACACAGAAGATGGAAACATGATAATGCAGGATATGGGGGAAATCAACCCAAAATACAGTTACCTTTGTAGTCATTAACAAAATATTTAACTTTCATATCTACAATTTAAAGCTACTGGAATATCTACTTTCAGAAGTATTTGCTTCAAGCTGTAACTTCAGGGGCAGCTGATCTGGCTTCAAGAGTGGGAAAAAAACCAAAAATACTAGTAAGGATTTTTACAGATATTCCTTCCTCTCTGAGGAAAACTGCAGCTGATGAGATGACAGCTGCTAATACCAGATGCCAAAAAATCCACACTTTTTGCTACCACTTTTGGTACATCTTTTAAATTCTGGGGCAGAGCATGTAAATGCTTAACAGCAGCATCACAAAGTGCTTGGAAAAGGACAAAAGAAAAACAGCATTTAAATTAGGAATACACAAATATGCCACTTAGGTGCGATAATTCTTTTCCTATTTCCTTCGGATACAGCTATGCAAGTAAGGGTTCATTTGTTGTAGTGCTACCTCAGCATCCCCGCACACGCCAGTATTTGTTAAAAATACACGCAAAGCAGCTGATCACGAGGTCATTCTGTTGTGCACAGTGTGAGCTGCACCAGCGTAACGCTGGAGGTGTGAGCTAGCCATGTCATTCTGCCACCGATCTTTTCTTCCAGGATTCTTCTACCCAGTCTTTCCGCAGCATCTGGAGAATGAAGCTGCTCACTGTGCAAAGGAAAGATTAAGAGCTGGCGGGATTTAAAAGGTAGTATTGTCTGTCCCTCTGGTGTGAAAGAGGGAGTGAGCTGCTCTCAAGTCTTGGGACGTGTAAGCAGCGGCTTAGTCCGCCACCTGGGCTGTTTGAGACGCAGTGCTGAAGCGTACTGGAAGTAATCCCACCCACAGCCAGAGCAGTTTAACCTGCCTTCATATTCCTGGAAAAAGGTTGCCGGATACAGCGTCACAGATAACTGCAGCCACACGACATGTCTCAGCTTACCCACGCAAGGAGGAATGCCACCTCCCCAGCGCGTGCGCTGCCCAGCACGCCCTGCTGCACCACGCTGCGATGACATGAGCGCCCACGGTTTCTACTGCAATCTGATCGCTATGGCTCTTGCTCACTAAGTGGGAGAGCTTGGTTTTAGCTTCTACTCCGGCTGATGGGGACTGGTACCTTCCATCTCTAAGGTGGATGTCTACTAACAAATCTTCATTCCTTTTGAGATAAAACCCTGGAAGTCATGAAGCCAGTGGGAAAAGGGAAAAAGTATCCGATGCTGCTTTAGTGGCTCAGGGAGCTCAGAGGGCAGAAATGGAAGTCCAAAATAACACCCTGAAATTCACAGATTAGGCAGAAAAAGCCCCAGAAGTCCTGGAACATGGCACAGGAATGTCAGATGGTACCTAGAATCATAGAATGGTT